ATACAAACGGAAGTCAACTTCCTGCTTTCTCTCTAAAGCGAAATGAAATTCATCATTATATCCGGGGCTACCTGTAGGATCGTGTTTCTAATTAACAACGGAATGGATTTCGCGAAGGGACGTATCGGCACACGTACAAAACTGTATATTTCGATTTTTAGCTGTTCAAAAATAAATATCAATATTATATTGTGGGCATACTATATTAATTCATAAATGAACAGAGTTTAGCTAAAGGGAAACAATCGTAAAAATATACAAAACTGAGTTAGAGGTGATTTTGAATGACAATAGAGCTTACTATTTTCAACAGAAAACCTCCTCTTACTTGGAACGTTTTCCATGAAAAGTCAAACCTGAAAAAAAAAATATATTGATAAAATTAAAATATTTCGAGGTGGTATAGCATTATGTGTTCAGGTATTTTGGAAACAAATGTCATGAATCCAAACAAAATAAATGCTTGATCTATTGTGTAATAATTTCATGAAATCTTTGTTACGATTTCAGAAAACTCGGGATGGATATGAGCATTTTTTCAAGAAGTTGGGTGGAGAATGTGCTAACATCAAGAATAACTATAATATATTTTTTATTAGCGTCAACATCGCTGTTAAACAAAACAGGATATGAAAATATCTGAAACTTATTATTTATATACAAATGGTTATAAATGAATCATGAAAAGATGAAACAAGAGAACGTTCAGGGGTGTCAATTCCACCAAGGTCGATGGCGCATAAATTTCTCCAACCCCTCTTCTCCCAAAGTATTTTATTGCTCTCCTCTTTGTAATAATAGTGCAAGCTAAAGTATAATTTTAGATATCATAGGTCATGTAGAATTACACTTTCAGTGGTCTGTTATATGCTTTCCTACTGTCCCCTTGTTTGAAACTTTTCATTTCGAAAATTTGCCCCCCTCAAAAATTCAAAACCCCGTCAAAATGTGCCCCTGTCAATCATTTGTATGGGGCCAACTTGTGTCATGAAACCCCCTTCTGGGCACGGAGAGGCTATCGGGCCGAAGCCCTCTCCCCCCCCCCCTTCCTCACCCCCCTAAAAAATGGTAAAATATAACGATGTTTTATAGATAAAAATATTAAAAACTATCTCTTAAAGAATTATTGTTCGTGTAATTAAATTTAATAGGACTTGAAGAATCACTTAACAACATATCATATAGGTAGGTAGTTTATTTCTTTCTTTTTTTTCAAATTAATTATCATTATATATGAAAAAAAAAAAAACCTATCGGGCTGAAGCCCTCCCAAAATTAAACCCTGGATCCGCTAGAGATTGAAACAGAATTTTTATTACTATTACTACCGTTAGTTAAACGTTAAACGTACATCCTGATCGTTCCTTACTTCTGTCAAATATTCATACTTCATCTAAATCACACAATTCATCGATGAATGAATCCTTACAACCTTTTCTTTCGTTTCGACTGTGAAATCAGTATTTTAAAATGATCTAGTCTCCTTCTGCGACTTATAATTTATGCCAGTTGAGTTGTACGAACGATATCTCGTCTAGCGTTTGTATAATCCTTCTGACTCATTTTTCTTACTCATTAGCCTGGAATGTTGTCTTAAAGCGGCTATTCAATTTCTTCTTGGCTGTAATGGCAAGAGAGTCGTTTAAAGCGAATAATGTTGCGACAATCCTTTTTTTTTTTTTTTACGATTCAAATCTACGTTTAATGGAGCATCTCGATTTTCATGGACACATTATGGTGACTAGATTCGATCTCCGAGTTGTATATATGCTCTTCACATTCGGGTTTATTTTTATTACTAGCTGACCCGTGCAATATTCCGCACAAAACTAATATTTGTATCTGATTTTAGTACATTTAGGGCTCAGCACAACTTCCATTCAATAATGTTTGATACGCAAGTGTTTAATACATATATTTAATAAGCCACCAGTTATAAATATGATTTACAATCTGCCACGGTTTAACTATTTCGTTTTATTAAACTTATAATTTAGGCATTAGCTCCAGCATTTACTAGACAAACGCTCTAAACCTTCTTTATATTACAAAAGATTGATACATATTACTATAATAAGGCCAATCTGGACTCATGGAATAAAGCTTTAGAGCTCTACTAAACCATCGAATTCCTCTCGTATCCAATCCTTACAATCCAAAATCCTTCGTAAAATCCTCAATGCTCCTTTATTTGTTACAAATAAAATCATTCATAACGACCTTAACGTACTATATGTTTCAGATTTATCCCAATCCATCTGGTATGTTGATAGGTATCTACTTATCCATCCATAACAAACTTCAAAACCATCTGAACCCTCTTGTTTCCAACCTTGCTTCCTCTTCGATACCCAAGGCTTCTGAAAAGAAGATGGCCTCGTGATCTACTTATGTAAATATATTATTAGAGTGCTACCAATGGATAGTTTCTCAACAAGCGTTTTCATGTCATTGTATTACTACCTTGTGCACATTTTACCGCGTGGATGTATTTTTAAATTTATACAGTTGTAAATCTCATGAGTAAATAAAATATGAAAAAAAATATTAGATTTATATTTCCTTCATTAAATTATCATAAATTGACAAATGCTTCCATGCATTGCTTTAAACACCTGATAACGGCCAAAGACAAAAGGCTCAAATTCTCAGGGAGAAATAGTGCAATCAGGATGTATGTTGCTTTATCATTAAAAAAAATAATTGAAAGTATATTTTAATATAATAAAATTCAATAATAAAGATCTAAGAGGACAAGCTAAAGTAATTGAAGCACATTGACAGAAATTTCAAGAAGTGTTTCAAGGAAGACACATTTATATAAATGAAAATCAAATTAATAACTTATTTAATTAAAAAGAATAAAATGTTTTAAATTTTAAAAACAATTACTAATTGATGCATTAGATACCCTGGAAAATATGGGCCAATTCCCAAGAACACAAATTCTCATATCTTTGCAGTACAACAAATACTTAATGTTCCGGACACTATAACTGTGCACCAAATCCTCTGATTTCAATTATTTTTTTTACGTATTGTAGGGAATTTAGTAAGCTTTCAAATACTTGTAATGTACGAATTGCGTACTTTTCGAGTTATTTGCAAATTATAAAGTCATTTGTAACGTCTCTATTCGTTGAAACGGCACCATCATATGGTTTGAAACATCCCTCAAGAAACCTTGAAGGAAAGAAGAAACCTTTTAAGTTTAATGTAAATATCAATAAAATAATAAGAATTAATAAGAAAATTACTTGATTTTTATCAAACTCATAGTCGTAACATAATTCAACCAGTCTTCGAAACAAACAGTAATACTCTGAATATTAGTTTAAAAAAAAAATGTACCTGAAACAAAAATCAACTGCAATGAAAATAATCTATTCGTCTACTGAATACAAGGTTGCCTTTTCCTTACATAGACATATTTAATCAAATTCTATCATAAATGATATATAACCCAAAAATGTAAGTATAATTATAAAATAAGAAATATACTTTTAAGTCTTAACAACATAGTATCATATTTTTTAAATTAAAGTGTTCTAATATTTTCATTGGACATTATTTTTTTCAAATCTTTATTAAATTAAAAGATATTTCAGTTTAATAAAATGTAACGGCTTTACTGAGCGATGTCGGTTTTATAAAAAATGATACATCATTTAAATAAAAATAATTTAAATAATTTTTTTAAATTATGTTTATTTCAATAATAATTATACATTTATGTAACACAATATATATATATATATATATATATATATATATATATATATATATAATTAAAAGAAAAACGAAAATCATATTTTTTAAAACATATGAATAATGATATTCAAAAATTAATAACTTATATGAACAAATATGAAATTAGTGCCAATCTTAACTTCATATCATTATCACGAAATTACCCATTGATTGATATTGAATAATAATTCTGTTGTCAATGACTTTTTAGAATCATTAAAAAAAAGAAACTTTGAATAATAATTTAAACGATCGAAAATGTTAAACAATTAATTAAACTTCAAAAAGGTATCGTCTACTATTAACATCATCAATTTTATGGGTTGAAGTTATTTTTGCTATAAGTGGAAATACAATAAATACAATCTCATATATATCACCGTAACCATTGATTTTATTAAAAAAAAAAAAAAAAAAGTATAGGGTAATTTTTATGAAGATTTTAAAGTACTTTAATATTGTACTGAACAATCATTGCGAAAAAGCTTTATAGCTTTTAGTTGTTCTGAAAAACTAAAAAAATGTGATGGTCCGGAGTTGTTAGGCATAAATATACTAAATAGTGGAGAAATTATTTTATTAAATGCCAAGGTTTTAGCCCTGAAGAAGACCTGCAAAGTCGGGTCGAAACGATGGCTTTTAATAAAATAGTTTTGCCACTATTTAATCTATTTATGACCGCCACCTCGGACCATCTCCTTCCTTAATAATGCAACGGCCAACTATTAAATATTCTATAAAAAAATATTTCTGTAAAGAGTTTTCTATCCTCCCTCCCCCTCCTCCCATCAAAACCCGAGGCGGGATTCTTTGAGACTTTTTACCAGTTATTAAGGGGAGGCTAATAAACAGTTTCTTACAAGTTTCATGTTTATTTTGTCAATGTTGGGGTCAATCCCTAATCTTACTGGACTACTGTGGGATTGCTCCAGAAATCGAACGATTCTTGTGTCTGTGTGTAGTGAGGAAAGGACTTGGCAAGACATTTTTCGCTATTCTGCGATGAAAAGAAAATTCGTTGTCCTTCCGCGACCCCGCGAAAGACCATCGCTTGGACGCCGCCCCGTCTGCCTCGATAATTACCTTGAATGTACGTTTCTTTCCCATGGCACATAGTGAAGTGTTGTGTTGGGCGGAAATGGCCAAGGTTCGCCCGACTTCCGCCCAACACAGACACCTGTGCGCTCCCCCTAGCTCGTGGGAATAACGCCGGCCACTTGTTACATTTCACTTGGAAATTGCATTCAGCCCTAAGCGCCTAGCCCCTGCTTCTTGGTGCGTATCTTAAGCGTCGAGGAGAGTGTCTTAAGCGTCTCGCGTAAGACACGACCACGACGCGTAAGACGAGCGTAGTCGCTCAACCCTTCAACCCCTTCCCCTGTCAAAGATGTATAATAATTTTTAGCACGTCGGCGCAATAATAATATAAATTAAAAGCACAATTACTATTGATTTATTTTAATGCTATTCATAAAGCATTTCACCATAATTTAGTTGAACATTAAAATTTAAGTTCATTGACTTTTAACCAGATGTTTTTATAATGATACTTGAGTGTAAATTCTCTTAATCTGTAAGTCGACTTTTTTTTTTTAATACAAGTTTAATGAGTAATAATAAAATATGCCACATTCAAAGGCAGCCAGTATCAGGACTAAATAAATATAGATAATTAAATTTAAAAAAAAATATATATGAATGATAATAAATAGTAATAAAATAAAAATATGCACTTAAAAAATAAAAACTTTGTAATAACTCTTTAACACATTCATAAATACGTACAATAAGTTAAATTAGAATCGGTTATTTTTTAATAATACTCTTTCTCCAATATATTCATTATTTTTTACACAGATTCTTATACTACATTATATTTTTATTTTTATTTTTTAATTTTAGATTTCATGGTTTGTCTATTTACGGATTTTTATGTTTATCACTATTGTATTATTTTAGTTCATTTAATGGGTAACCTATATTTAAAATAGATTTACTTTGCAGCTTTCAATGTCGAATTATCAGTATTAAAATTAAGTAACGTTAGTAAAATATTACTTGAATTTAAAATAATTATATTTAAAAAATCATTTTAAATAGAGTTGTGTATAGATGGAAGTAGTCTTTAATATCTTTCAATAATATATTCGTAAAAAATTAACTATGCGATCAGGAACAAACTGATGTTAAATATATATATATATATATATATATAATATATATTTTTATCATATTGGATTGATGGTTGACTGTAGCTAATAATTGAAAAGTTGATTGCGGTGTTCAGACAAAAAAACGAAGTAAAAATAAATAAATGATATTTATTTTGACTTTTGCCGACGTTTCGGCTCAAAGTTCAGGCCTTCATCAGGGATAAGGAAAGACCAGATGACAATAATGTCAGATACAAAGGTATGAGAAAGTATTAAATTAAAAAGAAACTAATAATATTACAGTAACAGAGAGGAGCGAGATAAATAATAACGCCAATTGAACAAAGAAATGTAATGGAATATAATGAGAAAAAATTGTAAGAGTTAGACATAGAATTAATGGGAAGATGTTGTAACTAAAATATGATATCTAAGTACACTAAAAAGAAGCGAGATTGACATAAAATAAAATTTATAACAGAGAAAAGTAATGTGAAGTTATATAAAGAAAATAATAGAAAAATTAAGATACTGTAAAATCTATCAATACATACTGACCGCATAGAAAATAATTAAAAGGTTAAAATTATGTAAATTTCATTTCCTAAAAGCTTAATAGAAAAAAAAAAATTAAAAACTGGGATTTTATAAACTCTTGAAACAAAATGACTACATTTTAGGAAAATTTATTGAATTTCTTGGCATTTTTTTCTAGCCTCGTAAGCCACATCTATCTTAAAGTGGGTACCTGATATATCTTTCAGGAAGGGATAAGTTCATTATGCATGAAATGATTGTTATCTCCTATCTTGACATTTTTTTGCCCATTTATGGTTTAAAAAAAAACAGGTCCCACGTCGATGGTTCACACATCCGTTTTAATTTACTTCATCAAATAATCAATTATTTATTTAATTATTATATCGAATTACATGATTATTTTAATTTTTTGTTTACAATGATAATTAACTTTTTATTTATTTTTAAATACATTTTGTAAAAAGCCTTTATTATTTTCATTATTTACTTTATTTATTCAATTAATGTCAATAATTAAGCTATACATCATACTCATGATATATTTTAAAATATATGAATTTGAATAATTTCTTTACAACTCAACTATACATTCTTATCAAGAAGATATTTACAAATTGCAGAAGGATTATAAATTTTAATAAAAATCTATAATAAATTTATAACGGTAATAAATAATGAAGTAACGGCCCTTGTCCATTATAATTATAATATTACAAATTGTGTACTGGACATGAGTAAATTTATTTTTAAAATAAAAACAGTAGTTTTTTTTTTTCTATTAAAGTTTTATAATTTGTTAAAAATTGAAATATAAAATATCATTTGGCGTATTATATAAGAAAACAAATCCACCATCATGATATAATTACACACATATCCATTTGTATATATTTAAATTCATAGAAAATATGTTTTTATTCAACATGCAAAATATAAACAAACCCTAGATATAATTAAGAATTATTAAGATTAGAGGTAAACAAAACAAAACAAAAATCCATCTTAAGTAGATTAGTCATTATTATAAATATTCATCTTTATTGACATTCATGGCTAGGAGAACGATTAGTATGAATGAAAGATGCTTGGCTAATCCATCCAATTTTCACGAGATAAAGTGAGTTCTCATGAGATGGGGTATTAGAGTAGAGTTCCCATGGAATAATTTCTTTTAAGATGAGTGAATAATATTATTCAATGTTGAACCAAATTATGAACATTATTATTTTGTCTTTATTTAAAAATATTTGACCTGTAATTTTTTTTGTATATATTTGTAAAAAAAAAAAAATAGCTCTCTTTAATGCAGTAGTCATAGAGAATAAGTCGTCTTCGCGCGGCTGAGGATCGGACATACCAGACTTACACACCTTCACCTCATAACAAAAGATCTTATCCTCAGATAAGATCACACTGTCAAAAGTGTAACCAGGCATTAGCTATAAAGCATGTTTTGGAAGAGTGCCCTTTTTACACATTAAAGGTTAAAAATCTGGTGCGCGCATCTCGCAAGTTTCACTTACCACCCTCTTTCTAGCACAAATAAGTATTTTCAGACAAATAGGAAGTGAAAGTAAAAATTAAATAGACGTTATATTTATTTACATTTCATTATGGGAATTGTTTGTTTAATTATTCTTATATATACGAATTTTTATTTTTATATCGCTGTAATCTATACAATTAAATATTAAATAATACCAACAATAGCATTTATGAAAACCTCATATGAATATGTAGATAATACTGTCGGAGACCGTATGATATTAAGCTCATGTTAAGTATGGAAGCCTGTTGTAATCTTTCGGGTGAGCTCGGGCACGCTCGTATTCCTTTGTTTCCTCCATTACAACTATTATACGTTACGATCTCTTATTTTTCCTTTGGTTAATTATCTAATTCTTTCATATTTTATATTTAACTATTTTTTATACCAAAGATTAATGTGAAATGGTTAATTATTTCAAATAAAAAAATTAAAGATACTTTAGAAGAAAAACATTATGGATAAGTATTGATTTTCATTACTATTTTCAACCCCTCTTCTCAATTCTCCCACTTTTCCTGCGGCCTTCGGTAAAGAGTTTAGTTATTTTATTTATTACACATTATTTAATCGTTACTGGTAATATTTTTTAATAAAAATACTGTAATTACACGAACAATAACACCTGTTAAATTAATTTTCTAGTATATTTTTTAAGAATGTATATGCATTACAATTTGATTAATAGAAAATATTGAGATGTATTTAGCTTGGAATACTAACAAACAAAAAATATGGACCATTGAAAAAAAAATCATTTTTTTCATTTTGAGGGACTTTAGCCCGATAGTTACCCCCAGCCACCAGTAGACCCGCTAGTGTTAGTATGTGAAGTAACTGCCTTATAATTTAAAAACGGACTCAGGCAACCCGCTTTGGTTTTAAATTAATTTTTATTTTTTTATTTTTACAGCAGCTATTTGTATTGTACAAAAATGGAAACATGTTTATAAAATGCAAAATTCTATTTCCATTTCTTAAAAATAAAAGATCTCTCTAATTATTCATAAAAGGGCTAGTCCATGGCTTAGCTGAAAAGGGAAACAATTGTTTAAAAGGGGGAAAATATTTAGGGCTTGGGAATTAATCTTTATTTCGTAAACATTTTTTTTATAATGCTGAAATACCAATAACGAACCTTTCTTCGTTGATAAATTACTCGTAAATTCGTTTTTTATATTTATTATAACTTCATTTTATTTATTTATTTATTTTTTTTTTTACGTTGGAAAGGGATGCACCTGCCTCTTTCTGGATACGCCCATGCCCTAAATACTTATATAATAAATAACTCCGTAGATTGTGTGTTGACCAATTATGTAGATCTTGAACGATAGATAGTCAGGATTATCATTTATTCATTATAGATGCCGACGAATCCATTGGTCTTAAGAGAATCTTTTATCACCCTCCCAGAATTAGTTTTCCCTGATGATAACCGACAACCTTGGGTATATAATAAATATACCGGTAATTTATAGATGTATTTTTTCATTTATATATCAATTGCATATACACAATTACAAGTAATAGTTATTTTCATAAACATGAAAGAATATCGGTTACATTGGTGTAGTAGATTGATAATGAAGTAGGTGAGGAAATAAGCGGTGTCTAAAGAAATGGATGAGCAATAACGGATTTAAATTAGTAAGGAAATCCAGGAAAGGATAGCTCAAATAATAAAGGAAAGAACTCGAGAGAGGGAGCAAGATACGCCTGATCTGATTATGTGGCAAAAATAGTTTTTGTTTCCCTAAAAAGCGGCACTAATATTGGAATTTAAGCTCCTGCTTCGCCCTAATTTTTATATGGTTTTCAAATACAATCTACGACATAACTCTAAATCTAGACATTAATAACCTATCAACTCCCCTGGTCATTTATACTAGTGACTTATTTAAATTATTTAAATAATCAATAATTTTATTATTTAAATTTATTAAGGTCGATGATAAAAGGGAGGTCTATAACGGCAGCAGTACAGCAGTCGTATTAGACCTGAATGTTCCTTTTATCATTTCTAAATTTAATCACACGTTTTCTAAAAAAAAAACGTTGTCTACTTTACGATAGTTTACTTATAATTTAATTATCTTGAATAGTTTTTGAGCAATTCCTTCTTATTCAATAAAAACCGTCACTACCTTAAGAAAAAACACAAAATCCGTCTTAACTTCTTTTCCGTTGTTCTTCAAATGAACTTTTTTGTTAGGAATTTTATTTAGGAAATCAACCCCTTAAGTTTAGCCATCAAGAACTGAGACACCCTGTATTGGTAAAAGTTAAATTTTTACTTTAAATTTTAGAGTACTACCAATGGGTAGTTTCTCAACAAGCGTGTTTCATGTGATAATATTCCTCTGTACACATTTACTTGATGTATTCATACTAATACAGTTGTAAATATCATAATAAAAGTTATAAAGTTTTTACTTTTAATTATTGCACGAGAGTCTTTCTCGACGTTGAACAGGCGTTTGATAGAGTCTAGCACCCAGGACTGACGTACGAATTCAGTAAATTCCTACCACCTACATACTTTCTCATTATCCGTTCCTACCTTACTGACAGATACTTCAAAGTAAATCATAACAATGCTTATTCATCTCTTTTTTTTCTCAGTTTGCTTTTGTTCCTCAAGGTAGTATCCAAGATCTTATCTTTTACACAGTTTATACAGCTGACATCCCAACACTGTTATCACCACCTATGCTGATGACGCTTGTATCCTATCAGTTAATAACGTCCCATCAGTTGCATCCCAAACTCTTCAATCACACATCACAAGTCTTGAAGGATGGTTTCAAAACTGTAGGATTAAAATAAACTCCTATAAATCCCATAAAATTAAATTTACTCTTCGTCGCAAATCTATGACTTCCTGTCCTACAGTATTCTTTAACAATACCCCACTTGTTGATCAAATCCGATACCTAGGACCACAAGCGGATCTACGGGAGGCGGGGGCTTCCGAGCTGATGAATTCTCCCCCAAAAAATGGTAAAATATAACCATGTTTTATGGAATAAAATATTAAAAACTATCTCCTAAAGTATTATTGTTCGTGTACTTACATTTAATAAAACCTCAAGAACCACTTAAACACTATTTCTTATAGAGAGTTAATTTTTATCCTTTTTTAAAAAATTAATTATCGTTATATATATGAAAAAAAGCTGTCGGGTTGAAGCCCCCCTCCAATATTAAATCCTGGATCCGCTAGTGCCTAGGAGTCCACCTAGACAAACGACTCGTTTCGAATCCTCATACCAGATTGAAACGACTAGAAACCGCCTGATGTTTTCGACTACTGCAATACTTATTCGACAAACGCTCTGAACTTCAATTTACAAAAATTACAAAATACTCGTATATATTACTACATAAGACCTACTTGGATTTACGGGATCGAGTTTTGGGACTCTACTAAGCCATCAAATTCTTCTCGTATCCTACCCTTGCAATCCAAAATCCTTCGTAAAATTCTCAATGCTGTACTTTGTCACAAATAATATCATTCATAGCGATCTTAAGGTACCATAGGTTTCCGATTTAGCTCAATCCAGATACTCACCCTTTCATAATAAACTTCTAAACCATCTAAAACTAAACTTCTAAAAAAGGATTATTCCTGATAATCCTCCGAGACGTCTGAAAAGAAGATGACCCTGGGACCTTCTAATATAGAAATATAATTGGAGTGCTACCAATGGGTAGTTTCTCTTCATCATGTTTACTTGTTGTACTTGTTCATATTTAATACAGTTGTAAATTTCAATAAATAAAAACTATAAGGTTTGACTGTTTCATACGACCCCTGGTGTAAATATACGCCCGCTTTACTTCAATGCAATGCAGGTTGCCCGAAAAAGAATAGATACAAGTTTTACTGTTTCAGCTATATTAACCATGAAATCTTATCGGGAGCAAATTGTTTCTTGTGTTTCGGCACAAGAGGGTAGAAAGTCAAGCAAGAGCACCTTCAACCTGACAGCTCCAAGGACAAAGTTTACATCAGGTCTACCGTTGTACTAGCCATTCGTCCAATGAGTCATTTTATCTACTGCAGACCAGTTTGCTTAATGGTTCCTTAACTATCCGGTGAGGCTAGTTAAAATAGCAGCAACTTCTCCATTATATAAACAAATTGTTTTATTTTTATACTCGTCCACTTCGTTCATGCCAGGTTTCTCAAATTGGAAGCGAACATTGGTTTCGGGTCGCCTTTTAAAATATAGTCACCGGAAGAGAACAATTAAAAAAAAATCGATTAAATTAAGGATATCAATAACGTTGGAATAACCGGTTACTAGCCCGTTCATTATTTATTCGTGAGGCTATAGTAATTAAAATAACTGTGGTATTAATATATGCTAATTTCATAAATAAGGGAAAGGTAGGTAATTTTTTTTTTTTTTATATTACTTTATGTGTAATGCATCGGGCGTGCAATTAGACTCGCATTTTATCATTTTATTGCAATGTACTCATTCATTGCATTTGCCCCATTTTCGGAAGCTTTTAAACGAAGAAATGACGAATTATAAAAAAATAAATAAATAAATGAAAGAGCAGTTGATGTCGTTGACGCATGAGCTGAACTGTGTCGTTAATCACCTAGATTAATTATCAACACGAATTCTTATAATTAGACGCAATAATTGAGGTAATTGGTGTCTGACCCCGACGCGAACGCACACTCCGACACACACATACACACACAATTGATAGTTCGGGCCCTATTAAACTTTTCTCGCCACCTTTCACGTGGAACGGTGGTCCTAATGAAGAGGCGACTCCTTTGCTACATACATCGTCCAGGCAGTAACGGTCCGGTTGCACCGACTCCGAGGATACGACACGTGAGTTACATGATAGCCAAGAAAAGGGAGCAAGGAGAGTTACATAATTAAAGAGCAGTGAAGAGATTACGTGAACGTCTAACGGATGTTCGCTCCTGGTCATTACTGTCAGTTAAGGTTGCCCGCCCAGGACTAGTTCTAAATTTTGACCACTACAAAATGTGAGCAAGGTCGCAGTTATCCTGTTTAAGGTTTTTTGATATTGAGATCCCATTGGGTCTGGAGGTGTAAGATGCCCCATCAGTGTCCTCAGGACAAGAAAAGGAGGTTGCTTAACATATGCAAATAGACTTTCTCCGCATTTCCGATCGTTTTTTGTTTTTTTTCTTCTAGCTTAATGACCATTTAATAGGCGGTGTTGATAACTTTCGGAAGGAAGTGAATAGAATTGCCATCTTGGCGGACGATTAGTTATTAAAACTATAGATAGACACTGTGACTGTTATAGAAAACCTTTTTCGAGAAGTAAACAAAGGAAAGATTTACGTATTTTTTAACCACGTATATTTTTACATATTTAAATATTATCAAACGAATCCATGATAAACTTCTATTTCGGATAACTTGAAAGTAATATTCATAAAACCAATGCTGAGTATTGTAGACATATTAAATATGTTAAAGTCCAGAAACTTAATCAAGATTTCTATGTTAAATATGTACTCTAGCACACTCTATTTCAAAAGCATCTGGGTTCTGTCAAAACTGATGATTTCGTAAAGGCACAAAGAAGGAAATTATGAGGTTTCCATATTCTGCTAACGACGTTTGTTTCAATTGAAATGGAATGTTAAAAAAGAATTCGGAAAAATGTTGAAAATAATCTGTTATCCACAATAATGGAAAATCAGGAGCTGAAAGTTAATGTTTATTTTTTTTAATTCGTTGTAAATCTTATATGGTAGCCACTCGTTATATAATAGTGTTCATATAAAACTAAAATATCCTCTTAAACATTAAAATGAATAGGTGAAACATACGTTATCTGATTGGAAATTTCAACATACTACAGTCAATAAGTTATTAACGTATTGTTATTAGTAACACTACACCAGGTTGACATAGAAGGGTATTTCGCTCAAGAATCATCCTAACTTTTAGCATCGTATCACACATTTAACATTTATAAGAAGGTTCGTGAATGCTGTTGATATTAATCAGTGTTTAAACAGAAGTCTTAAACATTTAATCCTAATTTGTTTTTATTTAGTAATATAATGTTCTGTCACTTGGACAGTAATTATAGAGAGGTAAGACCACGTTCCTACCATATATACAGAAAAGATGAACCAAAGAGAAGAAAAATAACAACTAATCCTAAATTAAACATTTGTTTCATCAACACTTATATATGATTTCAGCTATTATTTATTGGTTCAGAATTTATATATATATATATATATATATATTCATATTTTAATGATTTTATGGAAAATTCATATTTTTTGAAACCCCGAGATGTCGTCTTGTTGATCATAACGGTCTCGACCACAGGAACAGTGAGGTTATCTAAATGTGAAAAAAAAAGTTTACACATGAGTGTTGCGACTCATAAATACAGTTTCTAATTCTATGTTTCATTCGTGTTGCGACATTAACGGTGAGTCGAAGGTCGAATTGATCATGTTTAGAAAATAAAATATAAAATATGTGTTGTTTATTTTATTTTTTAATTATACATACTCGGTTAGTCATAGATTGCAATAATAGAAGTGTCCTCTAATGGCTGCCGCAGCGGTTTGGTCCTTGAATAGCAAGTGATTTACGCTATCCTTTCTACCTGTTTTTAATTTAATATTGTCAGACATCATTTATTCAGGAATATGGTATAATCATCATTACTATTATTATTTCAAATAATGATCCGATATTTATGAGACTCCCCTCGATGTAACCAAAATTATGCCGTCAGTATAGAAATATCACTTTGAATTGTTTTGGTAGAGATAACCTGTGGAATGAATTGCACTAGTAGAGTTACGAAAGATACTAGAAAATAGAAGAAGACATCCTGTTAAAAATTTAAATTTAGCAACACCTAGATAGAATAGAAAAAGCATCATTATTCTGGGACTAAATCCCTTTAGAATAACAGTATTGTTTATATAAATTAAATATAAATCTGGCCAAAAGACCTATTACAGTGAATAATTACAAAATACTTATAATAAATTAAGTATAATAGCTCTTAGGATAAATTAACGAGAACAGTTGGGTAACAGGCTTTCAATACTACAATATTGGAGCTAAAATAATAGCATAATAATCACTGAGTGAAATTAGAAAGGGACGCAAAATCATCAATTTTATAGGCTAAGCATTGTAGTGATAGAATATAAAAATAAAAAAAAAGTAAAATAATAATAACTGTTAATATGCAATGTATTGTACATTATTGAAAATAAATAACACCGACCGACGTAGCAATGTGTAGGTAAATATTTTTTTAAGGAAAAACAAAGTTGATATTCGGTTTCCGCACCTCAAATAAACCTTATATACAAATGTTTACAGCAACCGAACAATAATTTTTTTTTTACAAAATGTTAGCTATTTTATCATTTTATATTTTTTGTACATATAGTGTGAATGTTATCCTACCTCACTATAACTAGTGTCCCTGTGACAAATTGTTGTAATACTCAATAAATAAATAAAATTTATTTTTTATATACCATAAAAATTATTTAAGAGGACTCCACTGATTTATACCATATAGAGTACACGAAATCTTTGATATAGACTGCACTAACTAAAGATATAAATAAGTTAGCGATGGTAAGATATAAGTTAGCGATGAGTTATGCTGAACCTCGTGATTGGAATCGAACCCCACCACTGTTTAATGGATAAATGTATCGTTTTGATACACATCGCGTTGGTTGGATTCAAACATTAGACAAGCGAATCCAGTCAACATTCATTCTTGCTGAGGCTTTCTTGGGCTTAGAGCACGATGTTGATTCAAGTAGGCCCTATGTTTTGGGATCGGTGCTACCACGCTGAGAATGAATGGTCGGGGCGTTAAGCAGCGTCCGTGGGGCTGATTTGATTGGGGCCATAGGGGCTCGCCCCCTGGCCCCACTTGAACCAATTCAGGATACGGGTCAGCCTCGAGGCACCTCTTTATTTACAATTAAACCAGTTAACTGCCTTGTCCCTCGCCCCCTCTGACCTCACACTCTTCTTGTTTTATTACAATTGTCAATTCCTCCCTCTCAATTCTATCCTTCTAATCGTACTGTATCTTTGCGGTTCTTGTTCGTTCGCTGGAATAGGATTCACCGTAGCATAGACAAAAAAAAAAAAAAAAAAAGGAGGGTATTCACGTCAGTTATGATAAATGATTAATGTGTTAAGGTGCTTGGCATGAACCTTTAGTTAACGATAACTCGTGCTATCCTGCTTAAGTGTTAATATATATAATGAGTTAAAATTATAACTCCACTTGTGGTAACTTGAGCTTCACTTGATGATTTTAATTTTTTAGGATATTTTATTTATTTAAACACTATTAGTAAGACCTGAAGTATGACAACCATAAATTTATAAGAAAATTCAAACAAAAAAAAGTATTACATTCCAGTCCTCTCAAAACAAAAGTAGTAAACAGGAGATGAAAACCTTATAATAACCTTCCTCACACGTTCATGAAATTAACAACAGCTTTAACAGAACACAGGCCGTGTTAAAATCGAGTGTGCTAGCGTCCATATTTGACACGCTAACTTTAAATAAGTTTCTCAATTTTAGCACATTTAAGAGGTTTACAATTCTAAACACCATTTTAAAAAATCACTTTTAAGAAATTAACGTATACCACATTGTGATTTTTTTCTTATGCAGTAACGAATCCAGAATTTAATTTTCGGTAGGTCTTAGATTAAACAAAATAATAACTCTGAAAGAAAAGAAAGAAATCATTACTGGAATAATAATTTCTTTAGGGGTAATATTTTTAATATCTTTATTTGACACGTACATTGAATTGCTGAAATACATGCATTATAATTATAAGTACAAGAGTACATATTTTAATTGCTTAAGTATTTAAGTAAAATCTCTGACAGCGACAAACATAAGTGCTTCCCGTATTACAATTCTTTGATAAAAGTTAAAAATATTACAATGCAAAAAAAAACTGATAAAATAAAGCAGATGCAAATGAAATTCGCTTGGCTAAATTCATCTAAAAAATAGATGTCTCATGAGATAAGAGCTACGGGAAAAATAGGTGCAACATATTTTTTCTTAAATCTTCATTAACTTAAATTACAAAAACAATTCGTTATTATGGTATTGCTTTGAGACAAAAGTAGATAAAACTAATACACAAAAATCGAAATATATACATAGATACTAAAATTGAGGTTTTTCATTCCAAAGTTATTAATTATAATACAGTTATCACAATTTTCAGCAGTTACGATTTTCACACTAACGACTCGACAACATTCGGACAATACTGAAACAGAACGTCTAACGAAAACTAGGGATTTGGCCAGAAACAGAACAGAGAATAAAAATTTTTAAACATTTTGGATTCTTTCTTTTATACCATCAGGGCATATTTTCAATTTTGAATATACTATAGATTGTATACTATATTGTATACAATTTATGTATGTATATATATATATATATATATATATATATATATATATATTGAGAGAGAGAGAGAGAGAGAGAGAGAGAGAGAGAGAGAGAGAGAGAGAGAGAGAGAGAGAGAAAGTGATGATGTGAAATATAATCTTAATTATATATTTTAAAAATTTAAGTCCGTACTGTCTTCTACAATACCAGACAGAATGACCTGAGGAAGACCTATAACGTAGGTCGAAACGTTGGACAATACAATAAATATACTGTTATATAATATAGTAATTTTTAACCGCAACCCCAACTAACTTGTTCTGAAATTAAATCTTCGGTCAACCATCTCCAAATCTTTAAATATATACACATATATATCGAATTGACGTTAATTATATTTAAACAACCATATAAGTAACAATTAATTTTAGATATTAGCTTTAATAAGCACAAAGAGATTCGGATACAAAGGCCACATTGATACACTATAATCCTACAGTTAAGAAGTGA